ACTGGTTCGAAAATATATTTAAACCTGAACTACAACATGTACACCAAAGTACACTTACTTTCTTTTCAAGAAGTAGCAATTTAAATAAGACTAAAATCTAAATATTAAAAGAAAAATCATGTGTTAGTCCATTAAAAAATTCTCAAGGCCAATCTGTCTCTCCTATGGCAACAATAAACCTTAGCTTTGGCACAACAAATATGTTTTCATGTGATGTCTTATTGTTACAGCTAAATTGCAATTATGAATATTCACATTTAAATGTAACTAAAAGCATATAGTTCTGCTAGAGAAGAGGAAAACAGTCCYCATTTCCAAAAAAAGCCAAAAATATGACAGTTTTTTCCTTACTCTTTGTCTAAACTTTCTAACCAATTCTGATGGAGACAGACCTAAAATAATAGGAGAAGAGTGATAGAAGTAGGTTTCAAAYACAAGTAGGGGATGGGGGTGGGGGYATAGTGTTCCTGTTAATGTGTTMAGGGCTCTACACCAGCACTGAGTTTGGTTAAGCCAAATTCCCATACAATGGTTTTGAGATAACTAGTAACCTAYAAGGCCAAGTGCAGGAACTACATGTATGMAACATTAGGGACCTAAAGCAACTGTTGATWATGYATTTTTAAATAAGAAATGGTGACATACATTGGATGTATGCATTAATACCCAGCTATCAAATGGAAAAAAATAATTGTTTGTTACTTAAATGCACATCATACCTACATGAAGAAGAGATTCTGTCATTATTTCTGGTGTTAATGAGCTATTGAGGTTATTATATAAATCCTACAGAAATAAAAATCTCATTGAATGATAACCAATTATTACTGATTCTAAAATTACTTTTAATTTCAAATTTAATTTTAAAAGTACTCACTTGCAATATACTGACTTGAGAGAAATCTCTCTCATCAAAATAAACTTTTGTTGCAACTTCCAGCTTTGTTTGGAGATAACCATATAAAGGCTGAAAAAGACATAGTATTTCCCTTTGATACTTTCATTATTTTCTGTAAAATCATAAAAAAATAACTCTTACCAGTTGAGAAATGAGACAGACACTTTTTTGAACRGTGTCCCTTGTTATATCTTTATGCTTTATTTTTAATTCCTATACAAGTAAATTAAAGATGTCTTAAATGCTATATTGCCTTGAATTGCAAAAGATATTATCATAATATATCTATAGAGGATATTACATGGGCATGCAGAGATACATGTATGGAGTGAGATAAGTATCTTATAGATAATTATATGAAAAAAACATTATAATACATTATTGCATAAACAGGCAATTTATGAGATGTGTGGGTGCTTTCAAAAATATTACAGATGTGACGGCGGCTTGTCTCATTTTCAATAGACTCCAGCTGAGCTATATTTTAGAATATTGCAAGAATTCTCTACACACACTTTGCGGTATTCTGAAGGTTTTATGCCCAGAAATACCTTGCTGTCAAGCTYACAACTGCAATTATTTGAAACCATCCCCAAATCTCTRAAATCTTTAATCAATCAATCTTTACTTTTTGTAATAATTAACATAATAAATATGTATTTATCTATTATTACATAGCATATATTGCCATTTATCATACCTTTGACTGGATTTGCCTATAACAGGAAACAACAAATAGCGTTGACTGTTTATGAATACCATGGTTACCAATATCGCGGCTTGGTAGATGGAAATATGCACTTTCTATTAGAGATTATAAAACATTCAATATTGCATTATTGAGTAACTGTAGGAATCATAGAATCTTAGTGTTTTTTTCTTGTTATTTCTTTAATACCTGAATCGTAATTATGAGCTCCATCTGGTAATGCCATATAAGGTAGAGCTTTCCATTCTACAGGGAGAGCTTTACTCCAGCATTTCTCTCYTTCAATTAATGGTGGAAAGGAGTATTCAACCTTGAATAAAAAAACATTGGAGGTAAAACAAACAATATTAACAATCAGATCTTAAATTAGATGTAGTTCAAATTTTTCATTACCAATCTAGTGCCCGCTCCTTTTTWTCCTTTTTTAAGCAGATCAAATCATTGTAAACTTTTAAAATCAAGCTGAGAATAAGTATAAATATGTTTACTTGTTTTTACCAAAGCCAGGTTTAACAAAACGATCAAAAAATCATTGCTTTCGTCAAAGAAAACAATTCACTTTTCCATTGTGGGACATCAATGCCGAGTCATATTACCTCTGAGCCACGTTGATGATGAAATCCAACAACAACAACGTGTAGAACAGGCCGTTTGRCGTTYCCATCAGCCATAACAGTTCATTGCATGTTACTGTAAGTGAAGAACTGGTAGATTTATAACCAGTTTATCAAAAAACAGGTCCCATYAGGGCCGCCATCTTGGACGTGAAAACAAGAGGACTGGAAATAGATATTTATTTTTGGCGGGAAAGTTCTAAAAACACAGGAAGCCCAMATACAATAAATTGAAATTYGMTTCCACTCTCTAAAATCTTGAGAGATAATGYCAGAATATCTTATCGTAAGTGGTTTAGCTCGATCAGAGTTTAATAGAGTCCGTTGCTCGGGTCCTTTGTTCTACAGAACTCCACTATGAAATTCATTATCTTTTTTAGAAGTATTTTTCCCTTCAACAGTGACTATCCACGATTTGGCAATTTTAAATTTATAATAATTTCTTGAATAGAATTTCAAACGTATTATGTTTGTATGCCAACAATATTTTTGAGATTGAGAGTAAATCAAACAGTAAGCAAAGTGACAACTATCGTCAACATTTATTATTACCTTATAATCTTTAACATTTCAAGTTGCTTTTCTTCAATAACGTTAATGTAAAAATGTTTATATATTTTGTAGTTTTATAATATCAAAATTAATTTTCATTTCTCTTTGTCCATATTAATCTAAACAAGTTTCTTAAACAGTATTTCACTGCATTGAAGTACTGTAAGTCTTCCATATCTAAATGTAAATTAAAGCTATATTGTTCTGGTCGATGGAGTTTATTTTCTAAGAACCATTACAGCTACAAAAACTGCAATTGCAGCAACAACCARTGCAAGCACCATAGGGCTAATGAGAGACGAATTCTGTGGCYGTGTTTGAGTGTGAGGATTTGAAACCKGTTGCTTCCCAGCASTTTTYGCCATGGTTGCAAAAGGACAAAGATTCGGATCTTTAGGTTTCTCAGCGACTTCTTCMGCAACATCTTCTGCTTTCTCACTTTTTGGTTCTTCTTCTTCCACGACATATCCTGCTTTTGCATCAATTTCTTTGAAGATTTCAATATTAAGTAGAAATGCAAGATTGGCTTCTTCTACAACCTTATCCGACATCTCTTGAGAGATTTGTATGCTGTCCAGTTGAGACCGATAATGATTTTTGAACTTCTTTGGCTCACTAACATTATCAAAGCAATAAAACTGCACACCTTCACCTGTGGATGGCAATTCCATGGCTTTTGTGGCTATTTTCTTCAAGATAAGACCACCAGACAGATCCCCAAGGTATCTTGTATAGTGATGTGGGATCAGGAGAAGGGGATCATCTTTGCCAATCTCCTTCAGTCGTTCCACATATTTCTTGGTTGCAGGTGAATACTCTATCTGTTCTTCCCAATCTTCTCCATAATAAAACTCCAGATCTTGTTTTAAGGCTTCAGTTCTCTCGAGTTCATGAGGGAAGTGGACKGATTTGAAGTAAGGATGGTCCTTGTTCTTCCTGCTTTCTTCCTCTAGTGCCCTAGGAATAGTCAATATTACAATTTATACGCAGTTTGTTTAATCAACCATGAATAATTTTAAACTTCTTTCCAAGCTTTCGACCTAAGCGGTCATCTTCAGGGAACACAAAGACGTTACAAAAAAACAAAAACGCATTCAAACTGAAATGAAACTACTACACTGCGTATAAATATGAAAAATACAACCAACAAAGATCTTATTATATATAATATTACATAATAACTATTAAATGTAAATGGTTAAATGKTACAACTTTTAGCAAATTAGGTTTATAAAGTTTTATTTTGATTATACAATTCAGAAACTTCGGTAGTAAAACAAAATACATGTAATACAATTTCTCTTGGAAATAGAAAATCTTGCTAAATAAGCACAAACACAAACACAGTATTGACACTGAATAAACATGACATTAATAAACATTGCACTTACTTGTAAACAAAGTACAGATCYGCAATAAGTACACGATACCAGAATGGCTTAATYTTGCCTTTGATGAAATCTTTAATAAAATGAACATTCTCAGCTGCTCTGTGCACAACTTTTGTCCCTTTCTTTAGTTCTTTGGACAACTTGATGCTTGGTTCAACATTAGCAACCTCTTGAGCAGTGTTCATGAGATTGGACTCGACAGATACTTGTAGGACTTCAGTCCACCTTCTGAACTCAAGCTTCTCAATTAATGGGCGTCCATCACTGCAGAGTGTCTTGAAAGGACATCCATCGTTTGTGAAMACAGGACATTCACCCATCTCTTCTTTCAGTTCTTTGGACATGGCATGTACTTCTTTGAGAGTCTGGAGAAGCTTGGCTCCATGGGAATTACTTGCATCAAAAGCTGGGATTTTTGACAGTTTCTCATAGACTTCTGACATATTTGACATATCCTTGAAGGGGCATCCATCTTTAAACTCTGGGCAGTCACTTATTCCTTTAGGGAGTTCAGGGATTTGAGCAAATGGGCAACCCTTGTCAAATGCTGGGCATGTCTCTCGTAGAGAAGACAAGTCAACATGTTTTAGATCTTCTGGAGAATCTGCACTKTGGTCTTGGCTTGGAAGAACTGACTCAGATGGCTGAATGAGCGGTTTTCCTTCAGCCTGGACATTTTTAAAAGGACATCCAAGCTTTTCAATWACAGGGCATTCACTGGCTTTGTCATGATGGGCACCATGGATGATCTTCATTGTTTCAAGCAGCACATTGCGATGATGACAGTCTTCACCAGTGTTGGGCATTTGCTGTAGTTTGTTGTAAATCTCTTCAATGGAGTGAGCTTCTTTGAAAGCACAACCTTCTTTGAACTCGGGGCATTTCTTGATTTCCTTCATCAGTACTTCGTTATCTAGTTTGGCGAATGGACAGCCTTCTTTGAATGCTGGACAGAGTTCTTTCAGCTTTGCAAGGTCAGCAGTTGACAGTACAGAACTTGGTGGTTCCACTATTGRCTTTCCTTCTTTACTTGCACTTATAAATGGGCAACCACCAGATTGAAGRCTGAAAACAGGACACTCTCCTTTCTCTTTTTCAATCTTCTTTGAGAGTTCATGGACWGATTGAAGCATTTTGATGAGCTGCTGGTGTGACGATCCTTCGTGGTGCTCAGACTCTGGCATCTTTGCCATTTCTTTCTTGATTTCATCAATGCTCTTTGCCTCCTTAAATGGGCAGCCATCTTGAAATGCTGGGCATTTCTTTAACTCTGACAAGAAGAGCTCCTCTGTTAGTTTTGCATATGGACAGCCTTCCTTGAAWGCYGGACAGTGTTCCTTGATATTCTCTTCACTGACTGCTGTAGACATCTTTTTACACTCTATATAAAGTACAAAATAAACGTCAAAAACGTATACATAATCAATGAGTTAGTAGGCCAATTGGATTAGCCTATTTGGTAACATGCATGACCCTTTAGATCTGATAAAGGCCATCCTTATTATAATTATTAAAATAGTACTAACAAGGATGACTTTTATCCGATATAATGGTCCATTCAAACACTTTAATTCATGACATATACGAAATATCCACAAACCAGCTTTATTGGTGACAGCAAAGTTAATACTATGACAAGCATATCTAAAATATAATGTTAAATAATGATACAAATTGCATTGTTTTGGTACTGTGTCCTTTTGTTGTCGAATAGTTGAAGCTACAACTCAAATAATCAAATCCTAGCTTGAAGCAGATTAAATATCATACAGTAAACTGAAAAAATTCTGGCTGCTAACTTATATAAAATATCAATATTTATAATTCAACAAATTTTCCATTCAAAACTGGTGGAGGGTCGACCATGTGAAGCCATAGTGCCCATAATAGAGGGTTTAGTTTCTATCAGTGCACAAAACCCGCTACCCTATTGTTGAATAATATTAACAATAAAGTAGTTGAAATCTCAGTCATTTTGCTATGAAAGTTTCCATTGGAAACTGGATGTTCCTCAAAACGTCAGTAGTTGTCCTAGAACTGATTCTCTAGAGACTATTTGTTTCTATGGGCATTTTTACAGCATATATGCCATCAATTCAACTACTTTATTGCTCAAATGGGGTTGTTGACTTTTCAAACTGTCGTCAATTCTTTGACAACAAAAGTGAAGATACAATATAAGATATTTATAACTAACAATTACTACAATTATTACCCTTTTTTGGAACTATTAATTATCTTGAAATTATACAAGTTTATTAAATACAGTCACACAAGTGTCACGCAACAATACYATTGAAAATAAAAGTTGAAAATGTTATATGTCTGAGGTCCTGAATCATTGACGCTAAATCAAAACGAATTGCTCATACTCTCAAGAAGAGTTTTGGTAAAAAAATTAAACATTTGAAGACTTCGATTTGCATTCGCCAGAAGTTGTAATACATCATCACTGAAGAAGAAGTCACTGCATACATTCTTTACAAAATCACGGCTTGTGTTTAGTGGCTGTAACTCGTTAACCATGCACTCTATTTCCTTCAAATTTGACTGGAATATGTACTTTTAAGTTCTCCATAAGACCATATCCATCAAGGAGTCAAATATCCTTGCTTTTTGAAGCTACTGACTTCGGATGACACATCARGAATGACACTAGTGTCGTCTGACATGCATGGATGCATGATTCAACATTATTGARATCAGGGCACACTTCCTCTTGTTTAAATTAATGCAGTTCTGTATTTTGTAATAAGTTCCTGTATAATAATTCTAAATTCCAAAGAAGGGTAAGCTAACTATGAAACGTGAAACGACTTAACTTAACCTAAAGGTTGAATTTGCCAAGACTGAAATTGTCACTTAATTTTACCAAAAAAAAACAACACAAAATATTTAAAGTAACATTTTAAGACACTAAAGAGTCATATACTGCTTAAAATACCAACTTACACTGGTTGAGAAGGCCTTGTTGACGGAAAACTGAACTGTTCCTCGATGATCTCACGCGAATTCGCATTCGACCGTGGAGGCCTGGCAGCTTTATAGAAAAGTGCACGTGACATCCCCCCATGTGACAACAAGTGCTCGGGCAATACGCCAGGATAAAAATAACTGGCATGATGTTGCAATTTGCTCTGTGATATCGCTTTGTCATGGTGTTAAAGGAAGTTGCATGCTTGCACATATGTACACCTATTTGACACCTATTTACAAAAACGTTGTCATACAGTCTAAATAAGACCAATGATAGTCCAGAACTGGACCCTCTTTTATCCTCGCGCGCGGAGTTGAAAACTATTATTTTGAATCAGCGTTCTCAATTTTCTGTAGCGCGCGCTTTGGATTTTTATTTTTTACATAGAATATTATCTATAGTAATTGAGAAAAGAGGGTCCAGTTCTGGACTAGATCAATGAGGGATTAATTAAGACAAAGGAAGACCATCCAGGCTGAACGCTGTTCATTGTCTTTTGCACTATACAACAAATGTTCTATTTGTTTAGGTCTTTTGGTTCTCAGAGTGTCGGGCCTCAGTGAACACGCTGCCCACCCCCCTGTATTTCTTTCTTTCGTCAGTCTTTTCCTCGTCAGTCTTCAGAAGGTCTCAGAAGTCTATTTTGCGCGAGACAGTCAGTCAACCAGAATATGTGCGCTATTTTGGCGAAAAGGTGTGGAAACGTGTCCTAACTCACATCAACACATACTCAAGGCTATGTAGTATTTCAATTTTATTATGTTTTTGTTATGTTCTTGATATTGTGGTTTTGTTTGGCAACTATAGACTATTTACATAGTGTTTGCGCTATAAATACTACTTTTTTTCTGCTTTTTTCATGGAGTTATTGTATAAACAAGTCCAGGGTAATAGCTCGGAAAGGATCAATCTGAGAGCCACTGAAGTTCATGTCGGAAACTATCTAAAGACGGTTCTAATTTCCAGGCACAATATGCTAGACGATGTAATTAAAGGTCACTCAAGARAATATGTGATGAGTGAAATGAGTCGAGTATTCGCCATTTTGAAAATTCCCACAATGCTCCTCGGTCTCAGATCGACCGTTTCCTCGAACTTGTGTTCAAGATAATAAGTATATAATCATAAATACTTATGATAAGCGCGATGAAAATAATAACCTGAAAATAGAGTATCTACTAAAAATAAAAAAGGTACAAACATTTTCCAAAAATCTAAAAATCTCTCAGGGCCACTTCCCTCGTGCCCTCATAAAAAGGCACTCTCTTGTAGCCCTGTTCACAAATGTTTAACTTCTCATCCGAGTCGACAAGAAGCTGGACATCTGTAACCGATTGCCACCTTTAATAATTTCATAAATTCGAGTGAAGACGGCATTAAACACGTGAAAGAAATAGCTAGTGCTCAGTGGCCTCCATCACAGCCGTGTAATGTGTTTGACACTAGCTAAAAACGGCTGAGTGAGAGACTTTCCAGTAGATAAAGATTAAAATCATTACAAACTAACAAGCAGCTAATTAACAACCTTTGAAACAAATATTTCAACGCATCTACAGTTAGAGTGGAATACCACTATAAAAAAAAAAAAAAAATAAACAAAATAAACAAAAGCCATGTATACGACTGTGAAAGATTTCCCAAACACTACTCCCAAAATAGTGTCGCTAATCTTGTATCATGGAGGTGACTAGATATTTGCGTACTGTACATATAAAAATAAGGTGAAGATGCATGGGCCTTTGAGTCTTTTAAATATAATCAAAATGGCTGAATGAGATATTTTAACCTTCTGAGTTCATCCTCGTCAAGTGAGGATGTAATTATACAAAGAGGGCTATCCATGATGCCGTCATAAACTACAACTACCAGAATACTTGTTTTCTTTCATTTTCCCATTKTTTCCCTTCTTTCTCTTTTACTTTTCTCATATTCACTTTTCCCTTGCTTTTATTTTTTGAAAAGAGAATATAATTTGAATAAAAACGAAATGCAAAAGAAATGAAAGTATCCCACTAGTTGTMGTCAATTGACGCCATCACGATTAATGTCTTGCTTTGAAAGCAAAACTGATTCCGACAATGAGCTCAMGATGCAGCTTCCAGTGAAACATTGAACATGATTCTAGTGACTTTTGAGTCTCCATCATCATCCGGGACACCCAATGCTGATCTTCGTCCTGTCTTCCTCAGGGCGTGGGAGTACAACTCGTTAGTATTTTCATTCTTTATGCCATTGGGCACGTGTTTAAGTTTGACGTTTTTCGGCTCTGGACGTCTATAGGGACCACGCTCCTGGCTAGAAGTCTTCCTGAGAACAACACCATTTATCTGCAGAAATTCATGGAAAGCAACATGTGAGGAACGCAAAAAAACACAACTTAGATATGTTTGAGCTGGGAGTGTCCGTGAAATACCGAAATCACAAAAGATCCTGTCCTCAACAGATAAACTACATTAAGGTTGCTTCTCCGAATTTGGCAACAACTTTAWAYCATACACGCTGACTATCGAGAATTGATTGACCTAAAACTGATGTGGACCAGTTTTCTGTCTCGGTCTCATTTCTTCCATTYTCCACGTCATATGCTTACCTGTGGGGCTTCAACAGAAGCTTGCTTTGGTGCTGGTTTTACCATTGGCTGATTACGAACTTTCTGTTGGACACGAACAAGAGGTGGACGCTCTGGAGATGGATCACGCTTGGGTTCTACAAATAACTTGACAGGCGGTGTCTTCTTCCTAGTCAGCGGAATGACAACGGGCTCAAGAGTTGGAGTCTTTTCCCGCACAGTCTCCGCGGAGGTTTTTCTTTCGGGACGTACGAACTGTGTTGGAGGAGGTGCACTCTCAATTGGTGGTTGCCTTTCAATATGACGTAGAGTAGTAAATGGTCTAGCCTCTTCTTGTTTGGGTTGTTCTTGTCGTCGTCTAGCGTGTGGAGGAACAGCACGAAGTCGACTTTGACTGATGTTTTCGGAAGTTTTCCCGTCAAATACATTGATTGGTGGCGGCGACTTGCTTCGTTTGAATGGGAAAATACTGTTTAACAAGAAARGGGATGAATWAGTTCCATTATCTAGGTAACAAWGTGGCCTCGAACTTTCTCTCTTTGGGTTCCCTGTGAAATCCSACTTTCTCTACACTAATACCCTAAAGGTCAATTATGACCGATAAAAAGTCAGCCCGAATGTAGAAGTATATTTGGTCAGAAAATCCTGCAAGATAGGTGTTGCGGCAGCGGGAACAAAAAAAAATACATCTCAACCTATGGATCAAACTTTTTAAAGTAACTATTACAAACAGCATTTAAACTGTACGTACCGATGAGATGGACTGTTGTTGTTGRAGTCAACGAGCCAGTCTGGATCATTTCTAGAGTCAGAAGGAAGCCCCTCGACAATCGACAACATATCGCTAATTCGTCTTGACCGACCTGTAACACAGTTGGAAATAAGAATGATGAAGTGACTTTTATAAAGGTAGCGTTTACATCAATCCCGCACGCGCGTTCTCATCGAAATGGCCGCGGAACAATTTGGGCAAAAACCCGATTCTCATTGTCTTCAGCGCTTCTTCTGGATAAGACGCCTGGTTTGGGGGTTACTGAGCCTAACAGGGTTATTTACAACTCTCATTAATTTGAATGACTCAAGATAGACGCTTTTAAGTTTGATTCTATAATTATTCAAACGTGAAAGTTGGACTTACTTTTTTGGTAATCCTCTTGCACKTCATCGTCCTACCGAAACAAACAAACCGAACAAAAATGAATTAAAAAGAAATATTAAAAAAAAGGAATACAGGAGGGAGAGGAAAGAAAAAACCCTGGATATCCAGGAAATTTGTGAAAGGAAAACTTACAGCAAAACTTCGTAGGTACGTTTCATCGCCGGCCGACCAAATTTCTTTCCTGTAAAGAGAAATATAATTGTAAATCGTCCAGCARAGGAATCGCACGGTAAAACAGGACTCGAGTATGTCTTCACCCTTCCCATGATGAAACGCGCGCCGCTAATAGAGTGAGTAATGGATGCAAGTCTAAAAACTTTCAAAAGTGATAAAGAAAAAAACCCATAGTTACCTGAATGACCGTTGGCCACGATGGGACGCGATTCTGTTCATCTCAGCCTGTCGTACTTCCGCTACATAAAACAAAGAATTTTTGGTTGAATGATCTTAAAGCCGTTTGCGCGCGGTCATTTCRACAATGTAGAACAAGCGCATGCGCAGTACTCGCTCGATTTACCGTCGAAACATCACGGTTAGAGAACTTAATCATCAACAATTTTTGAGGCGCCGATGTCAATCGGAAGTTAAGTCCAATTTTGTTTAATATCGAGGCTGCATTGCACTCATACCGCTACTCACGTGGAGTTATTGAAAACTTTGTTCGCACGATGTCTCTGAATTTATTTCGAGCATTCTTTACTTCAGACATTTTCTGTAAAATATGAAAATACGTACAATACTCAGTCAAGGGTCGTTAAAAGACGATAATAATCGAGATGCAGTTACCAATTCTGCTTCTGTAGGACTCTTGTCGATRTGGAGATGCAAGCGATCCAAAAACGTTGATAATGAGCTTTCAATCTATTATATGATATCAAATTATTAATAAAATTAATCAAGAAAGMAAGTCCATGAAGAAAGTGAAAACAAAGAGGGAGACAGTAAACAAAGCTCCACGTATGCAAGCCAGGCAATAAGCAAGTACCTACAGGGAAAAATCAAACAAGTATATTTTTATGCAGTCGTAAGCAAGCCGTTACCTGCTGTGTCAAATAGATTCTTTTTGTTTCCTGTTGAGATGCTAACTCAAGCTCATCAGAAGCTTTTGGGATGACAACGGAATCAGTTCTGCMACTCTGACTTAGCTCGTTTATCACTAATGAAACGCGAACAAATAAACGGAAACAAATTAATTTTATTACTAGAATACATAGAAAACTGACAGATTACTGAATGATAACTYACCGAAAGTCTTTTTCTTGCTTCGCTTTGAATTTGACTGAAATAAAAAGAATTGTAAAGTCAGTACTTCAACTTTCATTTCCAACGAAGAATTCTAAAGCTCTAACATCCCTGGAGGTCATCTCCAATACCATTTAAAAATGTGCCCAGGTTTTTAAAATGTGAGCATTCTAATGCCTTACCAAACCAGTGTGTTGTTGCAAGTCATAGAAATCACTGCACGAATCCATGATCTACAATAAAACGAAAAAATAAAAGAACTTTTAAGTTAAAACTATTAAATAACTCTTAAAATATTTTTCACGTTACATTATTGCCGCCACTTCGGATGAAATAAATAAAATTTTCCTCGCTGGTTTTTTTGTTGATCATTCGTGGCCAACATGTCGGCGTTCTTTTCTTCAGATGTTTTTTTGCAATCCAAAAATACTTCAAAGATATTAAARTATCCTACCTGTTGCAGAAAATATATTGTTTTGACATCTGAAGAGTCCTCTTTCGCTTTCTTCTTTTGATAAAGTTTCCTGGCCTGATAACCTCTGTAATCTGATAAAGTTAAAAGTATTGCTTTCAGTCGAATTAAAATGGAAACAAAGAAAGGCTCATGGCGCGTTCAGTATTGTTTAGAATTCTGTTGACTATCAAATGTGTTGCTTCTCGAGTTTTGTGGAGAAATCATAGAGGAAGTGAAGATGGTTAACGTGAACATACGATGAGCGCCTAATTACTATCAGTTTATCTGTTATATAAAAATGTTTCATAAAAAGAWGTACCGTGATTCTCTAGACTTACGTGATTGAATGATGACTGCAGAACGGTTACGTTTATCTAGAAAAGACACATTATCACTCAGATATAGTCAAAGTTGAACWCAMTGAAGGCAATAAACCCATGAAAKTCATATTGACTAGTTCTGTCAGGTGTTGCGACAYCGAGAACAAAGGAATCAAAACTTAGCAATGGGAGTAACTTTGACAGTAGATAAATGAATAACCAATAGCCAACCTTCTTCGCCCTTGCGCTTATAAACAGTCTGTTCCTTCTTGATTTGATCCTTGTTTTTCCTGACTAGATATCCACGAAATACTATAAAAAGCGACAAAAAGAATGAAACCACTCTTGCTTCGTGAATAGACAAGAGAACCAGCTGTTCGACTGGTTTTGTTGTTTGGTTGAAATTGTCTGTCTGTCTGACTAACTGTGTTTGGGCAGGTAGGGAAAGTATGTGTGCATGGTAGTTGTTTGCAGGAGCTAGAAACTTCAATGACTTGCTTACCAGCTTGAATCTTAGTTGCTTGTGCATGTCGGTGTGCCAATGCTTTTTTCTCATCATCTTCTCGTTTCTTTTGTAACACTACAACAATAAGGATTGGAGCAAAMTTAGAATATTGATCTTGTAACATTAATATTGACATGTCAATCATTTGGAACAGCAATAGTAACTTATTATGAAAGAAGATGATAAAAAYATAAGGAAATTGGAAAGAAAGAGGAAAAAGAGGAAGAGATGATGAAAAGGGAAGTGGAATGAAAAGTTGATGGATGTGTGACAAGGAAGCAAGAAAGTAATGAGAAATTGAAAGAAAAGGAAGAAGAATAAAATTAAGATTAAAGGAAAAAATAACAATGAATTCAGCCTTAATTAAGAATTAGGAAATTAAAAATCAAAATTGAATTTTGTATTTACATTTCTTCAAAAACATTTGTTTTCTCATCCTTTCTTCCTCTTCAAGTCTTCGTCGATCTCTCTCTTTTCTGTACACTTGTCTTGCAAGATGACCGCGGAAAACTGAAACCAGAATACATAACATTAAATAAAATACTATTTAGAYGGCGAGTGTTTTTAATTACCTGACTGAATGTGAAGCGCAGCATCACTTCGATCCTGGACCATCCTCTTATATCTTCGCTTAGCCAGCCATACACGAATTACTATTGGAAAAGAGAAGAATTAGGACATTAGATAATGTAAATAGAATGTCACGCGCAATGACACGCTAACTCACACAATGACACACTCCTCTTTCGCGCTAGAAAGTTGTAGCAATCGTCAACGAAATCTTGCCCAGTAATCTAAAGAACCCATCATCATCACTAGCAGCATGATCATCATCCGATCATCAACAGCTTTTGAACAACCCTCCTCCGCAGGCAACACTCCATTTTGTCATTTTGGGATCCTATTGATATTTTCTTGGCAGGGCCACAGTCTCCCTCGGTCATATTGAGAAAGACAGGAAGCCCAAGAGTAAAAAGAATAGCGAAAAGGTAGAGAGAACATCTACTTTTCAACCTCTTAGTCTCAAACTTAGATTTGAAATTTTGAAATTTAAGGCCATTGTTTTCAGTGGTTATCATTGATTTCCACTGAAAGGAAGTTTTTGAAAGGCCAAAATTAGTGTTGCACTGGCGCGTCATCATCACCATATCAATCTTTATCATCATGATCATGATCATCATTCTTATTTATTCTTATAATCATCGTACCTGACTGTACCATGACAACACGAGCACGATGTGCTTCCAAGAGCTGCGTCAACCTCTCAACGTGATAATACTTCATGAAGACTTTGGTTTTCCCAATGATATACTTGTCAATCCTTGCAGCTCGAAGAATAACTTCGCACGAAGCTGCACTCGGTTCCACCTTTTCATGGCCTGGGTASCCAATCATGTGATACCTAACAATGAAGTGCATACGTAAGATTAGAGATATATATAGTAAATGAGAAATTTTGAGCAGTATTCTAATGTTGCACATTGTATTATTTGTACTCTATATAACAATTAAAGAAAGTTAAAGACACGCGTCTACCCAAGAACCTTTGCAGTCGTTGTGCTTTGTTTAAGAAAGGTCAGTTCTGATTGGTTAAAAATCAAAGAYGGTGATTTTTCGTATAAAATCGCGCCAAGGTCGTCAGATGCACGTGGATAGGGACTGCATTTTAACTACACTCACGAGCCAGTAAGAAAGAGAGTATTTTACCTTTTAGTGAACTCCTCGAATGAAGGCCTTTCAGAATATCCCTACAAATCAGACAATAATCCGTGTAAAATCGCCAGACGAACTCAAATCAATGACAGTGTATCCTGGATTTYAATCGTAAAGTTTGATCAAGTCATACCTCTTTTCGAATTCGCGTAGTTTCTAAAACACCAGTGTACTTCAGTTGGCTCATGACTTTTTCCTGGTCAAACCTTCCTGGAATCATAGACTCGTTGGGTCGAATGCACCTGTGGACACAAAAAAGAGCCATTGTGTTTGATGTAGGACGTCTCCAAGTGATGTCATAATGCCGACTTTGTGATGTCGGCACAAATGTTTCACTAATTCCAAAATGGAAGGAAGATTTGATGATAATTTTGGGGCTTATAGATCAAATCAGTCTTATCATTGTCCAATATCTTCGCCATACCTTACAAAGTGGGACTGACTTGGTAGTAATTTCGATAARAGATCTTTCAATGAAGACTGAAAAACGAAAACAATATTGTTCAATTGAGAAAGGTCTATTCTCCATTCTGAATGCTCATATTCTATACAATTGCAACAAAAGAACACCCGATAATTACGTGAAACTTACCCTGAAGTGTATGGAAACGGTCTGGTTCAGTCTCCCGGTCGAGCTGGAGTTAGATCTTGCATCAGAACCTTGTCTAGATATTACTTGGATTTTCTTAACGGAAGAMAAGAAAGATAACTTAGTTGGATCTCCGACTTGGATACTACAACGGAGAGGTTTTTTTATGGCAATATATATTTTTTTATAAAATATACAAAAACTGAAAAAATTACTCATGTCCGTCATTGGTAATTCACTGGCCTATTTTGACACCATWTTGCTATAGTTTACCTACCGTCTTTTGTGCAGCGCCTGAAGAACCGAAGAGAGCACTGTCYCGTTTAGTATTCAAATCTGAAACAAATTGAAGAATGAATAAMATAAGAGATTTAAGACTTGTGATATTTAAAAAAACGTCTAGATATTGCAGCATTTGTCAGAGTCCATGCTGAAGTGATCAACATTTTGCGCTGACTTGAAGGTGTGGAATGCACAATTCGATAAAATTCACATTAAATTTCATTTGAAATAATGAGATTTATGCAGTTTAAACGGCTACGGTGCAAAGGTTACAGAAAAGAGGACTGCAGATCGATAAAATCCATCACATGCAAATCAAACTAACTCTGACCATGGACATAACTACCTATGAAGCACAAAGATAACACTATCTGCCCTTCAAATATATAAATGACATCATCTGTCAATCAAATTATAGATGACGTCACCTGTCAATCAAATATAAAGATAACGTTATCTGTCAWTCAAACAGATTCAAGTAGATCAAGTAGACGATCAAAAAGATCRAAAAGATGACATCRCSARTTGATCAAATCATRCATGRCGTCATCTGTCAATCAAATATATTGATGACGCTCCATATCAATTCATGCCKATAGCATGCRTCAAGACCATCTCACCAAGGCGTCCTGTGTATTTGCCAATRTAAAAGTTCTTTTTCCAGGATTTYAAGTTCTCGCTTTTGTTRTTGATCTTCACRATCATCTTACGCTTTTTGTACAAAGCTTTTTGAACAAAASCACTGGGGAGTCYCCACCAGAATTGGTCCTCGTCCATGAGAAAGCTGCTAGAGACTGGCGACGAAGAAAGGAGATAAAGCACCAGCAAAGAAAAGATTAGAGGTCARTGAAGTCAGTTTAGAGTAAAGATAACGAACACAGAAGAGATAAACAGGTTTATAAAAAGATTTGTAATAATTCTCCTGACGAGAACTAGCAAAGCAAGATAGGTTTAAGAGGTTTTATAGTCCATGAACGAGGAAGAAAGCACACATAATAACGCTAGCAATAAGATATAAAGTGTTGTAACTTTAGTTCTTCTTTATGTGAAATGGCAGGGAGTATACTCAAACACGTTACCTGCCTCATCTTCACATTTCAATACCAAGWCAGTTTCAATTGTGCGAGCAAGAAGGAAAAATTAGAAATTGAAGAAATGTTTTGAAGTCATATGCACTTTAATTGTTATARACGTTGCTATTACATGGCGTATTTCAGCCTCAATTAAGCTGTATTCCTGCCAGACCACAGTTATGAGATTGGAAAGAAAGTCAAGAGACTGAGGATTATGACCATGTCGGGGAACTGAATATTWATTTTGTCAGCCCCAAGAATAAAAATTAGCGTCATATAGAAGCTGAATGAACAGCACTAGTTGGATCAACATCAAAACAAGAGAATGACTTCCCCATTCTATAAGTAYATGAGTTACCTGGCAAGGAAAGCACCTGTTTTGGCCACCATGTGACAATAAACAAGATCGAAACGTTCGTGCGAGAATTCCAAAACACCAAGACAAATCATAGCCACATCCCTCCCCCCCAAGAATTGTACTACGTACCTTGTTTACTTGGCTGTAGCTGGATCAAAGTCCTGACTAGTTTATTCTCTGTAAAAGCACGAAATAGCATAAACATGTCTGATAGAAATGATTGAATGAAGAAATGAATGCATAGGAAAATGAATGGGAAAATGAATGGATGCACAAAAAATGAAAGAACGAATTAATAGAAAAGATACATGATTGTGCTATTATTTGTTAATAAAAAAGAAAAGTAACTGTATCTACGATATCTGAAAACATACCACTCGTTCGCAGTACATGAACGACGTCTGGCGACAAAGTGTCTCGATTCTTTTCCAAGAAATTAGTGGCATCATATTTCACCTGTTGACGAAAGAATATTTTAAGCACCAGTACAAAGAAAAAATAATCTTCATTTGACGATATCATAAGTCAAACTTGTTCCACTCTATAACACATACACCGAARACACATGGATTGAAACGTCGCCTCTCAYAYGTGTCGAGKCCAATGCCTAATAACACACCTTGCCAGCGTAATGCAGGATACAAAAACCAGGCACATTGCTCTTATCCTTTGGTTTCTGATAGTGACGACTTTGAATGTTGTTGTTGAATTTCTCTGTAAAAACAAGATTTGAGTGATTTACCAACAGAATACGAATGYCTCTTGCCATAAAATACAGAAAGTACCAAAGTTTGCGGTTGAGACTTTGGAAACAAAAGGGCACGACTCTATAAAAGGCTGTTTAGAGTAAGGGGTTACCCACCAACTAGGGTGAAGTCCGTTGCGCGCGGAAAACGACTTTCCTCGTCGAGAAGAGCAAGGATTCCAATSGGTTTCTAAACAAATAAAACAATAAATATCTCATTTCGCTTTGTTCTCAACTGCAGGACCAGTGAGTACATAAGCCTCCCCCCGTCTGCAMAGTACTTGTTCTACCATTACAAATTTCTAGTCTAAAAAAAACGCGAATCCCAACTCACCTGAAGAAACATGTCGAGTACGGGACGATTGTCTTCAAACTTGATCATCGATAAATCGACTCCTTCGATTTTGTATTCTTCCTGTAAGTAAAACAAATTATCATTTTAYGTGAGATTGAGGAACATCGTTACTTCAGTATTATGAAAAACACCTTCAGRTTTATTGAAATGCTTTACAGTACTACTTGTGACGAACTGATCATGCGCAAATCACTATCTGACTCTGTCACACTTGTCATGAATCCCACATTGGTGAGAATGGGAGTCGCACTGTAGTAAATGAAGACGTCTCATCAAACAGAAGTACTTTTGACTATGTCAGATATGGAATCTCCTGAATCTAAACGCATTTATAATTGATGAAAAGAATTCTTTTTCAGCTTTACCTGTTCCCAAGAGAAAATTTGTTGGTTGAAGTAAAACTGAACTTGTTCGTTCGCGATGTTGATACAGAGCTGTTCAAAGGAGTTGGTTTTGAAATTCTCGAAGCCAAAGATATCCAGTATACCAATCCTGTACTCGTTGTCTTTGCTATTGAATCAAATTAACAGTGTTGATGACAATGATGCAATGATTAACGACCCTTTTCGCTTAAAAACGTCGTGTGATCTTCGGCGAAATGCACCATGGGATTGAAGACAGTATAAACTGAAGCAAACTTAGACCACGTAATCGTGTTTCAGGCCGTTTGGCGAGTAACAGACGTTGCTCTTTTTCCAGGCCCATATCTGAACATATTTATTCAATATTTTTCAAAGCAAAACGAAAACGGAAAACGTTCATTTCTCAAAGAAACTCTAATAAAGTCTTTGTGATTCAATTAGGTATCGTCTTCTTGATTTTATCAATACCATGATGCACTTCGACAAAAAAATATGACGTCATTAGGGGAAATGACTTACTTGACGGGATCAGAGTAGAATTTTAACAAAGTGTTGATTCTCTTGACAATCCAACTAAACAACCTTCCATACAAAGCCTGCAATGAAATATCATCASAATATTTTAACTCTTGTTTTACMAMACCATTCATAATYACGCGACAAAGGYAATTTYAYGCTTTAATWGTCATCGACCAGCGTCCAGTACATCTGCTGCCTAGTACTGAGTTGGATACGAATTGTCATCATTGTAATGCTTGGATCAATTTTATTTGGAAGATATTGGGAGATYTGGATATTCGGAAAAAAGAAACACATTTTGTGGACTATAGATGGTGTTATCTTAAAATAATGAAACGCTTACYTTGGCCATTGCATCTCTGCAATCGACTGCTTGCTCAACGGTGTTATTCCGAACGATTGTCTCACCTATAATTGAAAGAAAATTGGGAATTAAAAAACAATTTGCGGCAAAACGATAATATCAACACTTTAAAAGGAGTCTCTACGAGATGCAATTTTAAAATAACTTTTGAAACAATCAGTTTTAGAAGTAAAAAAACTCAGTAGCAGCATCAAGCTTGACAAAAACACTACAAAAGAGAGATTGAAATAAATAAATAGTCGAATAAACAATCAAACCAGAAAATTTTGTTTATATTTACCTCTAGTGACATTACTATTTGTTGTCAGTGCATCTCTAAGCTCGACAGCATTGAGTTCAAGTAACGAAGAAACTGTAAAAACATTACAGATAAGTCATTAACAAAATATGCCGGGAATACGATATTCATCCTATTTATCCTGCAATTGTCCAAGATCCTATAAATTTTAAATCGTAATTCCAGCAGATTTACAGGATTCAACCTAAAAATGAGTTGACTGTAATATAGTGGTGGCCGTAATATAAAGGTTTTCCTTACATACAGGTGTCC